ATCAAGAAAAGCTAACCACGGACGCATTTCAGGCTGTTGGCCCTCATCAGCGTAGTGCAAGCTGTACCTCAACGACCAAAAAACTGGTCATTCAAGCATCCTGAAAAATCATGAAACGGGTAGTTAAGGCCAGAATTGCGTGAGACCGCAAAACAATGTGAAAATATAGTACAAATGTGATACTGTACTGGGATAAGTGTGGGATATCAGTTGCACGATAAGGAGATGCCTTTTTTCATAATTATGCACCTTATCCCAGTACAGTATCACATTTGTACTATATTTTCACAGTAAAACTTTGTTATACCAAACCCCAATTGGACTGAACACTGTTTACTATATAACCATGGTTCACTCTATTATATACTTTTAAATGGGAATTATTTCAAGTTTGCATCATAAGGGAAGGTTTGCTTTATATTCCTGGTTTGTTTTAACAAGGTTTTACTATACATGTGCTATATTGTTGTTTGTGGTCATTAAGTTGAGTTTTAGTGACTACATGGACAAATATATCCCAATTTGATCTTTCAACGTTACGATCACTCACAGCTCATCCACTGCCCTTCCGCTAGTTTCCTTGACTCCTTCCACCCAGCTCATTGCAGGTCTTCTTCTCTTTCTTCTTCCTTCAATGTTTTCTAACATCAACATATTTTCTAATCCATTTGCTCTTAATATGTGTCTGAAGTAATCACTCTTTATTTGCATATTTGGGATTTGCAGATTTAGAACAGGCCATCTCAAGCTATTGAAGATAGAAAATAATAACAAAATCTGCCCCACTTGCCCAAAATGTAGCTTGGTGCCTGCAGCTCTAGAACACATTTTGGCTTGCTAAACAGGACCTTTGGAAGAGGCCGCTGCTCATCATAAAACAACTCAAGGAGCATGAACTCATAGAATTCGTGTAATCTTTACACAAGGGGATAAGAAAACAACATATTTGGGATTATTAATATCTACCAGGATTAATTTCATTTAGGATTGTAATATTTTCCTTTTACCTGTCCATTGCTTTCTGAGTAGCTTTCTACATTTCAAACATTTCTTTTTTTTTTTTTCAGAAAGTCCTGCTCTTACATCTATAAGTGACCAGAGGAAATGCCAATGCTTCATCTAAATGTTTGTTGTCGACGTTTCTTATCCCCTTGTGCAAATGTTACCCAAATTCCATGAGTCCTCCTTGAGCTGTTTTATATAATCAGCAGCCTCTCCCAAAGGTCCTGTTTAGTACATCTAATGCAGGCAAAAATGTGTTGTGGAGCTGCAGGTGCCAAGCTATATTTTGGGCAAGTTGGGTAGATTTTGTTACTACTATACTAAATGTATTTTATCCCTCTAGAACATAACATTGTTTGACTCATTAGTTGTGTTGTTTGTAGGTGACCTGACGCAGCCCTTGCCCAGCTTGCTTGTTGCGCAACATGCAGACAAAGTGATCCAGGCCCACTGGCATCCTCGAGACTTCTCCTTCCTCTCCACCTCGGCAGACAAGTCGGCCACACTATGGGCTCTACCGGCCGCCCTCTAGGCCATCTCCCCGCTGCTGCCTCTCTTGTGCCATAACCCCTGCCTGCTTGATGATCCCTACCCTCTTCAGTTTCTGATGCCCCACCCCATTAGTTGATGAAACCCCCCTCCCTCCCTGCCCTCTACAATTTTTCTTGTCCTCTTAGTTCAGGATTGACCATTTCATTTCTTGAAGCCCAGACCTCCTTGACCTACCTCTTCAGTTTCTGATGCCCCACTCCATTAGTTCATGAAGACCCCTCCCTGCCCACTTCTATTTTTCTTGTTTTCTTAGTTCAGGATTAACCATTTCATTTCTTGAAGCCCTGACCTCCAACCTCTTCAGTTTTTGAAGCTCCACCCCATCAGTTCAATAAGCCCCTGTCCTCTTCAATTTGTTCAGATCTGACCTCTTGGTTTAGGATTAACCATTTCATTTCTTAAAACCCTGACCTCCCTTAGTTTATGACCCAGCTCTTCTGTTTTTGAAGTTCCACCCCATCAGTTCAATAAGCCACTGTCCTCTTCAATTTGTCCAGATCTGACCTCTTGGTTTAGATTTAACCATTTCATTTCTTAAAACCCTGACCTCCCTTTGTTTATGACCCAGTTCTTCAGTTTTGAAGCTTCATCCCATCAGTACATGAAGCCTTCTGCCCTCTTCAATTTGTCCGGATCTAACCTCTTGGTATAAGATTAACCATTTCATTTCTTAAAGCCCTGTCCTACCCTTAGTTTATGACCCAGCTCTTCTGTTTTTGAGAAGCTTCATCCCATCAGTACATGAAGCCTTCTGCCCTCTTCAATTTGTCCGGATCTGACCTCTTGGTATAAGATTAACCATTTCATTTCTTGAAGCCCTTAGTTTATGACCCAGCTCTTCTGTTTTTGAAGCTTCCTGCCCTCTTCAATTTGTACCTGTCCTTTTGGTTTTGAATTTACCATTTGATTTCTTGAAGCCCTGACCTATTTGTTTGAATACCCCATCCTTTGAAGACCTCACCTCTTCAGCTCATAGAACCCACAATCCATTTTGTTTTGATTCATCACCCACCTCAGTTCTGTAATCCCTGTGCCTGAACCATCTCCCCACCTGTGCCTGTTCCCCCGCCTCCCCCACCCAACCCCATATCTTACCTTGCTGAAAGTAGAAAAAAAAAAAATTCAAGTGTTCTCAGAGTTTAACAAAAAAAAAAATTTTTATATCAATGTTATTAAAAAAAAAACTATTTCTATGAAAATTTATTACACCTTTAAAAAAATCCTGTTTTTTTTTTCCTTCATTCTCTATTGCTTTCTTTTATTTTTTAAAGCTTCTTAATAATATATATCACAGTCATTTTTTATTACTTTTCAATAACCTATATACTTCCTTTTGTTGTTAATATAAAAGGCATTTATACATCTCTTTTTTTGATGTGTAGTTTTATTGCAAAAAAACGTTTTTTGTGGTCATTATGTATATATTTTTAAATATTATTTTTTAAGAGATGCTCAGTTTTTTTGTAACATGACCTTTATATTCTCTTCTTTAAGCAATATTTCCGATAAATCTCTCTGTTTTTCTCTTCACTCAATATATCTTTGTTTCTACTTAATTTTTTGTTGTTTTATATTTACCAATAAGTTCTTTCTTAAGGATATATATGGTTCTTTTTCTCTTACCATGTCTCTATTCTATAATAGATCTAAATTCTTTGTTTTTTTTCTCAACCACTAGTCTTTCACCAAAATGTAATTTATTAACTTTCTTTTGTATATATATGTTTTTTTTTTTCTTTCCCTTATGTATTTAATTCTCTTTTTTTTTTTCTCTCTCTATATCTCTCATTTTTTCTTCTCTCAGACTTTTTATCTTGTCAAGATTAATTAAAAAACTTGTTTTTTTGAAAGATATTTGTGATTCTCTATTATTATTATTATGAAAAAAAATAGAACAAATGTGATATTGTACTGGCATAAGGTGCATAATTATGAAAAAAGGCATCTCCTTATCGTGCAACTGAAAGTTGCTGATGGCTTGCGCCATCTATTTTGTTGCACGATAAGGAGATGCCTTTTTTAATTATTATTATTATTTGAATCTTTTATTTTTGTTGTATTGTAAGTTTTGATAATTAGAAGTTAGGGATGCTGAAACTTTATTAAAAAGTAATTATAGAAGTACATGGTAACATATACAGTTAGATCTCACTATAACAACATCACTTGATAAAAGAAAATAAGACCTAATCCTAAATAATTTATTAGTGTGTGACGTTTCGGCAACAACATTGTCACCACCATCAGACAAAAGAGTAAAAAAGGTTTTTTTATTCTTTTGTCTGATGATGGTGACAATGTTGTTACCGAAACATCACACACTAATAAATTATTTGGATTAGGTCTTATTTTATATATTTTATTATAATTTATAATACAAATTGTGCTTTATCAACATCACTTGATGTCAAGATTTTATATTGTTAAGGGTAGTCGGTTGTCAAGTGGTCTAAACTGTTGGTTTTCGACTGCTACAACCTGGGATCAAATCTTACATTGGGCATTTTTTCTAACTAAAAATAATACTTCATTGGTCCCCAATTCTTGAAAATGTCCAACTCTACTCTTCTTCTTTCTTATCTCTGGGTAGTTAGCAACTGCTTTTACTGTAAGTGCACCACATGTCTACACATGTGAAAAGCAGTTCAACTTTGCACTTACAAATGTGCCAGAGCCCCATTTGGTTACTTGCACTTGCTAGTGGGGTTGGACTTTTGCAAGAATCGGGGGCCATTGAAGGATTTTTTTTTTATAACCAACCCTACTAGTAAGTGCAAACCAAACGAGAATCTTGCACACTTGTAAGTGCAAAAATTGAACTGCTTTTCACATTTGTAGATTTACAGTAAAAGCAGTCGCCAACTTCTATTCACCATGATTATCATGGCCTGTACCACGTGTACTAGGGATAATTTTTTTAGATGACACACCATGTTATCGTTATAACTACGGTTAAAACAATTCAGATTTGAAACTTGAGGATTTAGAATTATGATGTTATAACCAATGATAAAGAACAATGTGGATTATAGATTAGAAACACAAGGTAATAAGACTAAATCCTAATAAATAAATAGTGCATGATGTTTCAGTAACAGTGTTATTACTGAAATGTCACACAAGTTACTTGGTAGTATTTTTTTTTGCTTATCCCTAGTACACGTGGTACAGGTCATGCTAATCATGGTGGGTAGAAGTAGGTGACTGCTTTTACTGTAAGTGCACCACATGTCTACACATGTGAAAAGCAGTTCGACTTTGCATTTATAAATATGCCCGAGCCCCATTTGGTTACTTGCACTCGCTGGTGGGGTTGGACTTTGCAAGAAACGAGGGCCATTAGAGTATTTTTTTTTTAAATCAGAAAAAAGTGCCCAATGCGGGAATCGAACTCGGGTCGTAGCGGTCGAAAACCAATGGTTTAGACCATCCTTCCACCGACCCCCTACTTGGTAGTATAGTGGTTAGTATTCCCGCTGTCCCATGGGCAACTGGGGTTCAAATCCCCACCAGAGAACTTCTCCCTAACCTGTCCCATCTACAGCCCCAGAACATTCTCTTTCATTGCCTGGCAGGATTTGTACCACAACTTACCTTGAATAGGATTAATGTATAGAGGCTCCATGACCCAATGTCACATGGGGTAATAATAATATATTTTGACAGCAATGACCCAAGATTGAATCTTGCATTGGGCTCTTTTTTTTTCTAAAGAAATAATTATTTCAATGACCCCCCGATTCTTACAAAAGTCAAACCCTCCTGCAGATGCCAAGCTACATTTTGGAAAATGGGGTAGATTTTGTTATTATTTTCTATCCTTAATGGCTTGAGATGGCCTGTTATAAATTTGGATTATAGATTATAATAAAAGAAAATAAGACCTAATCCAAATAATTTATTAGTGTCTGATGTTTCGGCAACAACATTGTCACCATCATCAGACAAAAGAATCTGAATCAAAAATGTTGTTGCCGAAACGTCACACACTAATAAATTATTTGGATTAGGTCTTATTTTCTTTTATCTTGTTAGTGTTGTTTGGTGCTTCTTCTGGGTCCACCCCACTGTACCATCGGTAATGGCAGAAGCTTCCTTCAGAAATACTCAAATGTTACTGACTCCAAGCACCTTGGATCTAGCTCCAAATATTTGTTGAAAATACCATGGACTGTACAGGTAAAAAATAATGAGATGTTAATACTAGCTTCTTCTTCTTCCTTATCTCCATTCAATCATATTAGGATATCAAGTTGTGACCCTTGATGGTATCTGTTTGACAACCATCATGACTGGGTGAAGTAGAATGTGTCTGCCTTTGTCATTTAGACTGGGAGCACTACTCAGTGGCAGGTCGACTTAGCTCCAAAAGAAATGGCTGCCTCTGACATGAGTAACACACACCATGTGCAGCTGCTCCTAACATGGAGTACAAACGCTGCTCATCCTGTATCCCTGGATCAGGAGCCCTTACAGGGTACTATCAGCCGAGCCAGCTGAACCCAGGTTTTTTAGCAAGCTTGTTACTGCTCCCCCTCCTCCTTTTTCAACCGGGCTTGGGAACGGCGAAGTTAATACTAGCTGGATAGAATAACTGCTTTATTAAAATGCTATTAAAATTAATTTTATGGATAAATCATGTGCTAATACATGATAGCCTATTCAAAAAAGTTAATAAATGGAAAATAGAAGGTCAATAGGACACCCAAAACCAGGACGACGACGTCTTGCCACTATTTAAAATTTTCACAATGATTTGATCATCTTGTCATGGCCTGATGAATACCTGAATACTAAAGTTAACTCCGTAAGTTACACTAAAAGCAGCATTGTCAAAAACCGTGCAAGTGCACACATTTTTTTTTTCAAGAATTAAGAAAAAAACTTATAATATCATGGAGAAGCATGATTGAAGAGACACCAATCATAGTACTGATTTACTTGAAATAAAAATGATCATACTTTTAAAAAATCAATGAAATTTTATAGAATCGAATATCTTAATTTCCAAACCAATCACCTTATTGAATGATCATATTCGTCAGGTGTTTCAAAACTAAATATCGCCTATCTCAAGTTAGAAAGATGTGATGCATTTTGGCTTAGGGATTGAATTCTAAATTTAGATGGAAATGATTGTAAACTATAGAAAGGGACTTTTTACTACATGGGTTGTTAGAAAGGCTGGACGATGAGAAAGTAGGAGAATTGAGATTGGTGTCAGGTTGAACGTATCAAATATGCAACCACTGGATGTTTAGTCTGATGTTTATAGAATGGTCTACCATTGCAGGTGAGAAGTTTTTAAATATGGACATAATATAGAACGTGTCAGCAGCTCTTGAGCGATGTAGAAGATGTAAATAATTATACAAGGTGGGATCAATAAATAAGGTGAATTATAATTTATTTTAAAAAAAATAAGAACGTTATTAAAAATTAGGACTTGATTTATTCAAAATAATCACCTTGGCTTTCTATATACATCGTCTCCATCGTTCTGGCAACTTGTAAATACCCTCTTTATAGGCACTCTTAGGAAGCATGTGAAAAAAATCTTGCACCACTTTCTGGACATCTTCATCCGAGTCAAATCGCTTTCCCTTTAACTCCTTCTTTAGTAGTCCAAAGAGGAAATTGTCAGAGGGCGCTAGGTCTGGACTATATGAAGGATGTTCTAAAACTTCAAAACCTAATTTAATGATTGTAGATACAGTTTTACATGATGTATGCGGCCTTGCATTATCATGAAGGAAGAGAACACCTTTACTAAGCTTCCCTCTTCTTTTGTTTATTATACCGGGCTTTAGCTTATTTACAAGAATGTCACAATAAAGGTCGCTGTTCATACGTTGCCTTGAGGATAAAAAATCAAGACAGATTGGTCCATCAACATCCCAAAAAATTGTTAACAAAACTTTACCGGCCGAACGTTGAGACCTGAGGAACATGTAATTCGTCCATTTTTGAACTCGTTAACCCATTTATAAATGTTTTTTTTTTTTTTTTTTTGAGACAAACAAGACTCACCATAGATATTTTTCATGCTTTGGCATATTTGAGATGTTTGAATACCTTCTGCATTCAAGAAACGAATAACTGCACGTTGTTCAAGCGTGGTGCAATCCTTCAAGGGACCTTCCATTTTAGTTTATTTATAAGTCTCGCGCCGCGCGTGGGAAAAAAGAACAGAACACCTTAAATAGTCTCTCGATGTTTTATTTTAATATTCTGTGGTTTAAATTATTTTTGCTTTTTTAATTTTAAGAAATAAGATAATTCACCTTATTTATTGATCCCCCTTTGTATATACACACACAAAGCTTTATTAAGACCACCGGTCTTATACAGATTTACCACAGGATGAAAGGAATCTTAGATGGAGTTCCTATACTCCAGGCAGCACAGCACCCAACAACAGCCTCCTGGTCCGACGCATGTCCAATGGCCACACGTTCCTTTGTGCATACGTCATGGTTATCGAATCACTGAACAGACTAATGTGCAAATAAATATATTTTATTGTGTCAAAAAGAATTCAAACATTTAGCACTAAATATATGACCCGAATTTGTCTGAGTAGGACTTCAGTGTGAATGATTATTCAATCCACATGTATTTCTTAAATTAAGAGACATTTCGGCTAGAAACAATTTTTTCTTCTTGACGTTTCGACAGAAATCTTTTGTCTTCGTCAGTAAAAATAAAAATAAAATACGTGGCAAGAGTGTTATAAACATTTATAACGCCTTGCTAAATGCTTTATTTTTCCTGACGATGACAAAATATTTTTGTTGAAACGTCAAGAAAATAAAACTTTTTCTGACCGAAATTTCTCTCATTTTAAGAACAATGAATCCCGGCCAGTCAACCTCTATTTTCAAGATAACCCATATGTAGTTTTAACACTTTCGACCCGAGGGACGCGTCCTTGCCGATACAAGTACATTAGGTCAGCTGACATCCCCGCAACCCACTGATAGATAGACAAGAAGGTATGGGACAAGATCAAGGTAGACGCGACTTCGGTATTTAATATTATATTTAATTTTGGAAATCGGAAAGGACGCGAATTCGCATCCCTCGGGTTGAAAGTGTTAACCAAGGTTAATTATGAATATTAGTAGAGAGTAGTGATAGGAATTCATTTTCTGAACATGGTATATGAAGATCTAATCGTTATCAGGTTAATTTGCATATACCGGAGTCTAAATTCTGACACAGTGGCTCCTTCTCCAAAACCGAACTATATCGAGTTGAAGTTGATTCTGTTATGTAATTAAAGTAAGTAAGAAATGATGAATCCGTATCCAATTTAACTTTACATATTATTTATTATTAATAGCAATTATACAAAACAAATCTTGGTAGATGTTTATATGAAAACATTTATTTATTTCATCTCAATTTGTAGGTGTTACATTCGAGCACAGCTCGCGAGTCACCTTGTCCAGATTATTTACACATGGCGAGTTGTAATGCTGGAGTGGCCCCCCGAACCTTACAGGAGGGCAGTTGTTGGGTGTTTGGCTGTCAGCTAGCCATTGGGTCCAGGTCGTCGGATTCGGTGGCTGAGGTCACCTTGATTTTGAACAATTTAAGTTGTTTATTTATGTTGTTTTTATTTTATTTCATCTCAATTTGCAGGTTATGAAAACAACAAAAACAATAAATATTATATACATACAAGTTCCTTTTCAAACATGAGCTCATCTATAGCCATTGTTACTCTGTGTAATATTCTAACAGATTCCTATAACATACAATATTATGGAAACTTAGGCGGGGAGCAAACACATCATCAAACAAACCTATACTTTACTTTTATTTATAGAATTTTATATAGTTAGCACATTAAAAATATACTTTGGAAAATATTAACTCAATCTTTAAAATATATATTTCGTTTCTAAAATGATCATTGATAGATTTCGTTTGCTTTTTTAATATTTTTTACAATAAAACAGATAGAGATATTTATAACCCAGCTTCCTGGAGCGCAGAACACAATAAAATATACCGGAAATATCTTTATTTACGGGGCTGCTAACCAAAACGAATGATTTTTGAGCACCGATGGACGCATAAAGCGGAATATATACAAAGCACTATATACACTGCGTGACATTGAAAATGGAACACCAAGAAATAGTGGCCAGAAAGTGATGAAACTCGGCAGACAGAGAGAGACAGGGACGAACAATAAGTGATCTTTATTTCAAAATGATAGTCATAATACAGAGCGAGAACGGCGTCGGCTTAGTAGCAAGTAGGACCACCGCGGACGGCGATGCACGCAGCAACACGTCTAGGTAGAGAGTCAATCAGAGTACGGATGGCGTCCTGAGGGATGGCTCTCCATTCCCTCTCAACCATTTGCCACAGTTCGTCTTCTGAACGCGGCTGTGGCAAGGCATGCAAACGGCGTCCAATGATGTCCCAATCGTGCTCGATTGGTGAGAGATCAGGAGAGTACGGTGGCCAGGGAAGCATCTGTACATCTTGCAGAGCTTGTTG